GCCTGGGCGTTTCCTAGACTGAATCCCAAGTTATATAAGCAGACGGAATTTTTGACTATCCATGCCTTGATGAAGCGTTATGCATTAGCTTCATTGAAACCGAATGATTTTATACGCCGCTTGACCTTTGTGTGTTTCATGGTAGTTTTTCCACAGCTGACGAGAGGACACGAATTATCTGGATTCAGGATATACCGTTCAGATGCTGCTTTTTGCTATTCTATTAGGTCTTAATTTGCGTACCTCCTGAATGTACGGAGGACCGCGTACAACAATGTTAACCACTCAAATGTTACTGTGGCTAGTTCAAATCGTTCACTGAATGATAATTCGATATGCACTGAGTGGCACGGTAGCTGAGGTGTTTTCCACTTTTAGCTAAAACGTATAATGATGATGGTGATGAGCATTCCGGTCCTTAAAGGCCTTCTAGTTTAGCCTACAGAGCACCAGATGTTAGCGAACAGGTCCACGTATGTGACATTCAGTAAATCAAACTCAAACCAGCTGATGAGTGGATAGCGTGGACACTGGCGGCAGCAGGAATCCAAAAATTTTAACCATATGTATCGCACACGCATGGGCAAACAGAAGTATGATACACCGTCTGCGTTTACATTAAGTCTAATCTCTTCACAGTCGAAGTATCCAGGCGAACCTGCAGTAAATCGGCACTACAGTGAGAAAGAGTGAACCTTTAACTTGGTGAGTCGTGAAAACGCCGGAAGCTTGCGAACCTTCAAGATTCTTTTTGCATGAAAAATGTTCTTGACATACCTTGCCTAAGCGACAGGGACAAGATGATCCATAATAGCCCAAGGGGGATAAAAGCGATGACAACAGCCTAACAACTCGCCAATTTAATAAGCAGTAGCTTCTCTTTCCGATCTAGTTAGAAGCACAAACAACTGAAGTAATTCTCCAGAAGAAGCCTTTACTTATTTCAACAGCCCACACGATACAGTGCTGACTGCTGGGGGAGCTCCAGAACCTCCATCTAACTGTTAACTGTTCCAAAAAGCAAAGACCATTGACAGCATTGCTTGAAAGATGGTTAGGAGTTGTCCGCGTCTCCAATTATTCGGTGTACAGTTGACTTACATCTCTAGCCTTAGTGCAATTGCGGTAGTTTGCTATTATACGTAATCCGTCGAAAGTCTAACGCGATGCCCCGAAGCTCAGTAGGTGGGTTTTCTAAGTGACAAGTATAATCCTGATAGTCAGAATGCAGCGAACATAATCCAAAAGCGACGCATTCCATAGTGTTTCTGGACATCAGAGAACATTTCCGTCCAAAAGCAAGTTTCGGCTCTATAAGCATTGTCACTCAAGCCAAGTGAACCGTTTGCAAACCGTCTCTCGAATTTGCTGCTCACTTTTACGGTCATTCTGAGTGAAAACGAGCGCTGATGGGTTTTTTTACTTGGGTGTACCATGCGAAGCTGACCCACTATCCTAAAACTCATCCTGCCACTAAGGCTGAAACAGTCGTTTCTTCAGACTACCAATTTTATGGTATGTCTTCATTCATATATTTCGATTCCACCGACCGAGCAACAAAGGATTGAAGATAATCTTGACAATTTACAATGATTGAAAATACCGGTAGCTGGAGTTGACGATTCAATTGTTCCTTTGTTCGCCTAGCTTAGCAATCTGCTTGCGGACGTTTCATCAGCAATCGAGACAACATCATCAGTGCAATGTTGACTGTAGCTTGGTCACGAAAAGCAAACCAAGCAAATCCATGGAGACCGAGCGACAGCCAGCTTTACACCGATAATAGCTCCTCCATAGGCGCTGGAATATCTGCAACTAAATTGATAAGCTCCGTAAATAACCGAACCACTGAGCATTGACAATTTACCGAGCGTTTTAGTGCCTATTCCCACCTCCGTCTATCTATCCTTTTGTTTGTCAATGAACTAAAAAGCAGACGGGCCGATTGAATTAGTTTAGCTCTGCACGTGGCCTCACCACCAGTGTTATCCATTAAAGCTGACCTTATCGGGAGCGATCAGATACAAGGTCGCTAACATACCATGTAAGTGACAGCTGGCTGTCAGTCGTGCAATGATTTTCCAGTACTATAATCCCATCTACCCATCCGCCCACCCACCCACCACGGTATATCAAAAGTATTGATTTGCTATGTCTGTCATCTACTCCGGATGTGGAACACGAAGATGGACACGCTCTTTTCTGGGACAGAGAGCAGATCGAGGTGGTTGAAGACTGGCCCCATAATAATGGGTTGTCCCTAAACGAATTGCATTTTTTGTTGCAATTCCAAAGCTTTCTGGCAACTTCTCAAAGGTTTTGAATATCCATATATAGGGAGATCTCCTGGAACAATAATCTTACATTGTCCTATTATCCTATATTTTATCATTGACTGCGCTATTAGTAAATGGTCAACATGTTGTTCGCGGTTGCTTGTTGTGCCAGTTCCCATAAGGACGCAAGGTGGTCGGGGTTTGTCGAAGCCTGCTTGGCCTACTAGGTAGGGATGCTCTTAGTTGTAGTAGGGTGAGGTTTTGGTTCCGCCCATCCAATCTAGGGGACTACCAATTGTCGGACGTCGGAGTTCAAGGACGTGAGCCAGTGGTCATTGTTGACAACATCCAGTACAACTTACATAGCCGAGACAAAATGTACGTGTTTCCTCACGATTTTATCTTCCAATAACCACTATCACCGCCAACTGCGTCAATCCTGAATCGTCCCAAAACTCAGACAAGTTATACCACATAAAACTGATGATGAGCAATTTTTGAACGGTTGTGCTATCTCACTTGTGCTCACTCGAGGACTCAATTATCAACGGCTGAACGATGTTGTTACTGGAGATGAGAAGTGGATACTCATTTTCAACCATGGCATGTAGCCCCAGTGCATTGCAATATATGAAACGCCCACACAGGTCCCGAAATGCGAAATGTAAATTAAAAAGTGATGTTGTCAGTTTGATGAGATTGTCGCTGTGTCATCCATCGAGAACTACTACCCAGTAATTCCACGGTTAATGCCGATGTCTAGGGGGAAACAAGTTGAAATGACGTTCGACGAACACCGAAAAAGCATTCAAGAGCGGCCCAAATCCCTCCCCATGCATGACAACGCACGTTCTCATGTGGTAAGGCTAACGCGTCGCAACATTTAGGTATCAAAGATCCAGCATATGGCACGGACCTTGGTCCTACTGGCTACCACCTTTTCCACTCGCTGTACAATCACAAAAAGACCAAAAAGTGTGATGACCGCGACCGCATCGAAACATCTTGCCCAACATTTTGACAGCCAACCTAGCTCGTTCGTTGACACAGGTATCCACAGGTTGCTGAGCGTTGGCACTACATAGTCGATAACGATAGTCATTACGCTGATTAAATATTGACTGAAAATATGTGCCAAAATTTTTAACAGTTTCGGGACAACTCAAGATGGCCAACCTTTACTGAAAACCACAGTTTTCTCACCAGTCGTTACTACTGGAAGTGCCCAGCCGTCGTGCACTTTTCAGTAGACCTGTACTGCTTTCGAGCAACCTCTTCCTATTTCGAGGTTGGCTGAGGAAGTATGCGATGCAATCCCTTTTCCTACCAGCATTCCAAAACAATAGGACTACATGAACTTGCGATGATGCCACTTGGCTCATGTTCCAATCTACTCAAGGGACAGCGGATGCTTTCCTTCGGTGGGGAGGTGGAATCAGATGCCGCGTTTTGTTCGGCTCACAAGATGTATCGAATGTCTTATGGAAGTCCCCGTTTGATATGGACTAATTAATATGAAAACCAGACAACCAAGTGAAGTAGATTAAGGTATGGGACAGATGAGGTGGAAAATAGACTACAAAATTACACAGACACTTCTGTCCCCAACACTAGTATGAGGATCGATGTACTCTTTGACAGAAAAATACTTATAGACCTTGAGGTGGGCTTTATTGGTGAGCTGAATGGCTTGGGATTGTGTACCAAACATAACATTGTTCCTGGTTGCCTAATCTCAAGTGATGCCCAATGGGCCCACCTGCCATAGTGCATCAACTAAGATGGTAACGACGGCAATCTGGATGTGCTCCGGGTCCTCAAAGATAAAGGTTGGCATGTAGCAAACGTTATGAATTTAGGTATCCAATTGGCCCGCTAAACATCAAACCATCGATGCATTAACGTCTTGAGTATTCGTATCGGTTAATGGGAAAAATTGAAAATGCACGATATGAGTACACACGCTGTGTTTATTTCCATCTGAGTGCTAATTTAAGGGAGGTCCTTATAATCAATGGAATGTGTAGGCTGTCGTTTCTATAGCGACAGAGCCAGCGGTAGTTCTGGGATCAGATTACCAGACACTACATCATGAGATGGTGAAAATCCACGGTTATGCGTTCTTCGCTTTGACTCAAGTTCAACAGATAGTTGTGCCAGACTTGTACGACGGCTCAGTCGTTCAGTTGCTTAGCCCAGTTTTTAAATATGCTCATTCGCGCTCTTTCCTCTCTAAACCGAAGCTTCCGAGCAGAGTAGAACGTTAAAATGCTAGGTCATCGTTGTTCAGCTTCGGTCCCTTGCTGTCCGTAACTTTTGATTTGATCACCAGTACATCCAGATAGGTGACCAGGCAACCACCGGATACCCGAATAAACGTTAAATTCCAATCCTTTTTAGGCGAGTTGATAGACATTTCCCTCATCTGGTGACGGACCGGAGTAGAAACCTTAGTGTCTTAACCTACTGGCCGACTCTGGATATCAACTGTAACCAACATTGATTCGATCTGCAGTTAATTATACCTTGGTGTAATTTGTTTTCCACCCTACCACACAATGTGTTTCCCATCAGGTTGCAATCGATCTTTTAAACCAAAGGCTTGGTTTGTTTCAAGACGATCGACTTTTCCTTACCTTGGATGTCAACTCATTTGCAGATCATTTGCCATTACAGTCTCCTGTCATCCACCTCAAATGTTTCTCCATTCTTTTCTCCTTTCAGGTTCACCAGTTTTACCCACTGGTCGAAATCAACTGCTCAGAAGATCTCCGGTTGTTCTTGTGTAGTATGTACACCCCGATTTGCCTTCCGAACTGGCATTATCGACTAACTCCGTGTCGTTCGCTGTGTGAAAGCGCCAGGGACGGCTGTATGCCTGTGATGGGCACCTATGGTTTTGCGTGGCCAGAGCGAATGAACTGCGCTCTGTTTCCCGAAGGGGTGCGTTGCTTCTAACTTGCATACAACTGTTTTGACAAATGAGTACTGTTTTCAATACCAACGTTCAGAGTGCGAAATCATGTATTGGCATGCACTTGTTCGTTTGTTTCCTCAACACAGGTGTATGCCAGCTGCGTGCGTCGTCACTGCGTCAACCGCGGGCCGTGACCAAGTAACGCCGCGTCAAATCACAGCATGAGTCATCAGGCTCATGAGCGAAAGTGCTCCATTGATACTGTCAACCACTGAGTCTTAGCAATATCCTTGAAGTCAACTGACAGCTTTTCGACTCACTAACACCAGATAGTCATCGTCTTAAGGACCACGTGAACGGCCCGGGTTTGCAATGCTTCCTACGGTCGATAGTGCCACAGAGCGAGTCTGGCGTCCAGCTACTGACGTCGCTTCAATCAGCTGGTAGGACAAGAATAGCAGTTTCACACTCTCAGAGTATACTAAGAGGGGTGGTGTGACGAATACACAGCGACCATCACATTGTGCTGCAGTTGAAGAAGCAGTGGGCGAAGTCGATTTTTCGCCCTGCCTAATACAGTTACTCCATTGTAGCTGAACACCAGTGCGGACGACCGCTTGCACGCCAGAGTGTGACAGATGGTAGCTCAAATCACCAAAGCCATCATAACTGCTATGAATGCTGCATCAAGTGCTTGAGTTGTTGAGGCTCATACTCTGGACTAGTATATTTGTGCATAGATGGGGATATGTTAAGGCAAAAACCAGGCGGTGTGGCATACTCCACAGCATCCCAACCTAAGTCCCCGTCTGTTCAAACCTATTTGAATAACTGTACGCAACACGAATGTAATACGAAGTTAACTAGAAAGTACGAACTTTGTGGGCTACGCATGGCTGCGGAGGGTAAATACGATGTTAGTGTGTGTGGGAGAGAGGATATTTGATTTACGCTGGGTCATCGCCTGGGGGTCTTGCACGGAGGCAGCCGTGCTGGTCTAAAGGCCAGTGCCCAGTATTTCGGAGAAAGAAATTGGGAAATATACAAGAGCGCATGAGGAAAAAGGATTGTACTTAGAAAAACTAGAAGGCTTTTATGACAGTATTGTATAGTTCATAATATCGCATTTTACTGTGTATAAACCGAGGTTTTGGACAAATTTTCATGTCTGCAATAGGGGTAGGCTTGTACAAAGGTTATACGCAATTTGAAAAAAATCACGTGCCAAAGCCACCCAGAAATTCACTGCACACCTATACCTCTATCTTGCTTTAGCACCACTTGCTTGTGACAGACGGTATCCCAGGCGGGGCTTTGAAGTGCCTATAGGTAGACACATTATTTTTATATGAAAATTCTCGGTATACTGCACATTTGACTTTCGCGACAGATGGCAGTAACAGAAACATACTGATTATACAGAATCGAGCACCACCACACACAATAACATTGGAAAAAGACATGACGGAACAGCATGTACCGCTAGATTTTATAGGCTCACATATCCAAACGCTGCACAATGGTATTAAAATTAGTCGAATCCTTCGAAACTAGAATCCGAGTCAAAATCCCTAAACAGTTTCTGATACAGGGGGAATATCGTCATCTTCAAATTCCCTGCTCTCGTCATTGCCGTCTTCCTCAAAAACGGCATCGTCCACACTTCCATCCATAGCATTACTGATGCAGCACGTTCGGATGATCGTACGATAATTTCTGACGGAATATCCAGTCACGCTTCTTTTACGCACTCTGCAATTATAACAATGTCAACCGTTTTCACATTGTCATTCTTCAACGTTACATCAGATGATGCTGTCCATTCAATCCACCTGGCCCAAAACTTATCTTTAAAGGGCTTGTTTGCAACAGACATCCAGTGGCTGCTCCAGTGCGATTCAGATGCACGACGCCTCCGAATATGCCTGCTGGTGTCTGACATAGCCTTTCCCCATAGCCCATACCGTCTGAGGTCTTACCTGTTTCGTGTGCCTTGACATCAAATCAATACTCAGTCCAGTGCGGTTAAAATATTTGTTCTGACGACTCTAAGCCCTAGTAACTGCGATCATAACACATTAGGTCTCCAGAACTGAATAATAGTAGAGCAGTTTTCGTTTGAGCTCACTCAAGTGAGAGCAGGTAGTGGTGAAGTAAAAGTTCTGCGAAACAATTTCATTTCTTGAAGGATGTTTGTGAGTAGCGTAACGTTCGTAGAAAGTAGAAGTCACGATTAAACTCCCCACAATAATCTGCCTCGACGGGGAATCGAACCCCGGTCCCACGAATTTTCGGTCCGCTGCTCTACCACTGAGCTACCGAGGGCTGACGATTAAGTGCGCAATTTGATACATGACTTCTGCTTGGTGCGCGACGTATTGCCAATGAGCTCACAGTACCTGTCCTGGTGTTGCAGATTGGCTCACTCACTCGTCACGTCGCGCACCAAGCAGAAGTCATGTATTAAATTGCGCACCTACTCGTCAGCCCTCGGTACCTCAATGGTAGAGCAGCGGACCGGAAATTCGTGGGACCGGAGTTCGACTCCCCGTCGAGGTAGATTATTGTGGGGTTTGATCGTGACTTCTATCTTCTACGGACTTTCTGATTACTTTGGGGTCAGTTGATATACGGAATTACGATTTTGAACAAATTTGACGTTGCAAAGTCATACTGTCGGCTTACATACGGATAGAGCTTATACACGGTACTACGGTAACCACCGTGTTTGCACAACAATCGAGTGTGAGGAAATGGACACATACCTCTAATGTGGGCCAAACCTCAAGATACCAGGTGCGTCACAGACGGACGGTAGTCATGCACACCGGTTCCTTTCGCGTGTGTTTTGTCTTGATTGAACTACAGCTCAAGGAGTGCTATTTGCACGGTTCTTCAGCCATGACACCACATCGTACTGTGGCCCGATCTGTTGGTATCGCGTTACTAACAAACAAAGAAGGTACACAATTTGTCGCTTCGACGCCCTCGACGTTTTGAGACAGATCAGGATTGCTATATAATTAGTCCACTCAAACAGTCTGATGGTCGGAATGAGCGCGACACAGCCACACTTCATGATTCTCAGCGAATACCAGGGCCACCCATCCAATTGGCCATATCGGATGGCGCACGACAGTACCCCAAAAAGGTAAATGTCCTTAAACGCCTGGCTTTATGAGTAGACGATATTTGGGTTAATATTTTTTCTACAAATAATTCATCGCATTTAGCTCGCAGTCAGATCGTCTTCCACACACATCCGAAAAGGCACTGGACAGATGAGTTGTTCCGAGGAGACTTCTTAACACTGCGCATCATCCCGCTTCATCAGGAATCAAGCGCACGACGACAGCCACGAATGACTTATGAGGTTTATGTAATCAAAATCACCCCACGCTTAAATACGAAACAAATTCGCTCTTACGGCTTCTAAACGGTGTTGTACATGGCTAAAATACGAGAAATCTTAGCTCGATGTGTAAACTCTATCACCGGTAACGTTCGCAATATGCACAACAGTGGAAGATTCGCCACGTCATAGCGCAATTAACTTGTCAGTCACGATGATCTGTAACCGTTAGTCATGGCTCACTGGTGTAAGCCGCCGGCGTTCAGAAGTCATAATCTTAGCTTCTGCAGCAGCCAGGGAAGGCTCACTACTAACGGTCGTGCGGCCTTCTAAAGCTATCAACTATCGTTTAAACTGGTTCAAACCTCCACTTTTTCTCATTTTTAAACACGCCACAGTATTTCATAGAACCGATCCACTTTACTTACAGTGCAGGTGTAGCAGTAGTAGTGGTTCTGACACTGTTTGTATCACTATATTTGGTTAAGCAGTATTGCCGCTTGCACTGGTATTTTGTAGTTACTGAAGTTGACACCTATCATATATCTCACCGAATTCTATCATTGCCAACTATTTATGACTTTCATAATCTTTTAGCAAGAATTCACCTATGCTACAGTTACACCTGCCTTCAGTGCCCTCTGAGTCCATTTATAGTGCATTTTAAACTAACTTGTGTGATGAGCTTAGATACCACCTTTGGTTGTTCAACCAATAATTAAGCCAATTCTCTTCATTGAACTTCAACGCCCTCATCCAGTTTCTTCGAGGGAAACAATAAGTATAAACCTCTGCCACAGCTGTGCGCTTTCATCCGTTGCGAACCTACTCCAGTTAGTCCCAATTTGCACTTGGTGCTCCATATTTAGTCAGTTAGACTGCTAGTAGTTTACCTATTTGCATCTCAACACCTTTTACGCGTCAGACGGATACGTGAGCATGTTTAAATAGGTCACGCCAAACCAGTGCCAAAGCTCTGATTTTGACAAAATGGTTATGTGGCACATTGCTTATTTTACACTAGTCTACCGTATAACTTTTTACATTTAATGTGCATACTCGTTTTTAGAGCGAATGCGTCAGTCGTCGAACCTCTACAGACTCCACCGTAGCCACTCAGACAAAAGAGCAAGCTCCCTACAAACCACATTTGTCGGAACAATCAAGACGCGCCGGTGCAAAATACAAGGGAGAGAGGAAAGCACACCAGAATGCAACCGGAAACTTCCCGTCATCACAGGATCTATTAAGTGCTCTATCACAGGGCCGTGTGTCTGACAAAGTAACTAAGGCGCTGTTGGAGCTGCTTGAGCGGGATGAAGAGCTTCGAAAAGCAACGATATACATGAAGTCTCAAATTGATCCATCTGACACGGATCAATTTCCCTCTATCTGCCTGCCCTGCCGATGCCGAGACCCCTTCGTCATGACCAGCAAGCCACCTTACAATGAGGTAGTTACAGGGGGTGTGAAAGGATGCCTTTCATCCTGCAGAAACCCCGCTTTCTCCGCTAAGTCGGATCAAACGTTCACCACCTTTTGGCTAGGACTATGGGCTGTTCTGTGTGTTCTGTCCACTTTGGCTACTGTGGCAACATTTCTTGCTGATTCCGCTCGATTCCAATATCCGGAACGTCCGATTATCTATCTTTCCGCCTGTTACCTTATGGTGGCACTTGGCTACCTAGTTAGGGTGAGTTTAGGACATGAGTCAATTGCCTGCGACGGAGCAACACTGCGAAGAGGATCAACTGGCCCCGCCCAATGCAGCATTGTGTTTTTGTTCACGTATGTCTTCGGTATGGCTTCTTCCGTGTGGTGGGTAATTTTGACATTGACCTGGTTTCTGGCTGCTGGTTTGAAGTGGGGAAGCGAGGCAATTGCAAACTATTCCCAGGTGAGTAGCGAAAGTTTCCAACTATGATCAATTTTAATGAGATGTAACTTTAAGAGTATACTATGACAGCGACATTCACTACATTGTGACAGCCACGTCAGTCTTTCGGTAACCAAATAGCGATCAACTTGTCCATATTTTCGTAGTTAAAGCCGGTACCTTCTAACTCCACCACGACACGACCGACCATCATAGCAAACACGCATTGACACGCTTGATAATGTCTAGGAGAATCACCTGAAAGTGCTTACGAGGACCTACATAGAATCGGCTGTCTTCTGATCACATCAACCGCTCACACATCGTACGTATAGCCAACCGACGAGAAGATGGCATTAGATTGATCAGTGGGTAGGGGGCCTTGATGCGATATTTTTTAACATGTATACAATGATCTAGGTGTCTACTCCAAGGATCAACCGCAGTATCGGGTTCGAAATTTTCCCTTCATCCCTATTTGGGAAGAGAGAGACTTAATGGAGACTACTTTGTGTAAGGGTTGTATATTTTCCGGCTCAATGAAAACCCACTGAATGGTAGTTGGAGGATGTCTTTGTTGATTTAACGTTCTTTGGTTACTAAAGCTTATGGTGTCAACAGTAAAGTGAAATACCACTTCTTTTCCCATTTAGTTGTACCACTTCCTCGCCTGGTTCTTCCCTGGAGCTCAAGCAGTTTTGGTACTCATCATGTCGGCAATCGATGGGGATCCAGTTGGTGGCCTGTGTTACGTTGGTTCAACCGACTTAACGAATCTACGTCTTTTTGTCCTGGCTCCCATGTGTGTTTATCTAGGTTTGGGTACAGTGTTCCTTTTTGCCGGATTCATAGCACTGTTCAAAATTCGCAGCGCGATCAAACTACAGGCTCGTGGACATCTGAAAACGAATAAACTTGAAAAATTAATGATCCGCATTGGAATCTTTGGTGTGTTATACACAGTGCCTGCGACTGTTGTTATTGGATGCATTTGTTATGAGTTGGCAAACCGTGAAACATGGAATCGCGCACATAACTGTCCTTGCATTCCCTTGTCAAAGCTAAATGACAAATGGTTCGACAGCTTTTCTGAGGAACTACCTACCATGCTTAGCAACACTGTCACTCCACACCGCACTGCGGAAGTTGGCACCGACGCAAACAGAGCGGATGAAGCCGTATTTCGATTTCATCAACACCCGCTATCAGGTTCAGAGCACCCCGAACATGCAGTGTTCATGCTTAAATACTTCATGTCCCTAGTGGTTGGTATTACTTCCGGATTTTGGATCTGGTCTGGCAAAACTTTGGACTCATGGCAGTCATGTTTTCGACGATTGGTTAGTAGGCAGTGGAATACCAAGGCCAAGTCATTTCCTGGTTTAAGTGCTCCCATTTTGGGGCCGGTAAACCATGCTACTGCTAGCCGAGTTCCCGGACTCACTTGTTCTGGGGGGTGGAACGATGATCATTCTAAGCTGTGGACTTCCCTAGGAACTGTCGGGTGTGCTACATGGCAAGAAGATTTCGCTCCGACTTCACGACTTTTACCACAACCCCCACCGGTCGATTTGAACTGCAACCGTTCGATGGGTGGGCATCTGGGAGTAAATGGTGTTATAGGTGGTTCTGGAGGTTCTTCCACAGGAGCACAAACGGCTACGGGGTTGCCCAGAATTCAGCATCATAATGGCTCGTATTCAAGCGGACCAGTTGAGCCCCCCACTGTTGTGAAAGGTGTCAACTTTGTTCGCAATAACTGTGGCAATGGATCCGGTGGACAGCCATTGGAACCAAAAGCCATTCACCCCATGTCTTCGACACCAATCACACATATTTAAAAGACATCAAAGCTCACAGCATACATCGCTGTTGATTGGATCTCTCTGCTGCCTATGGTGTGAGGCGGCTTCCCACTCATTCGCTAATCTAGCGCCAAATGCAAGCAAACAGAAGTCATATGTACAGCAAATACAAAGGTATACAGGGTTCAACATAGAGTAATACGACAACCAGATCAATATAAACGGTACTTATCAGGACAAAATTGAATCATCTGTACCAACTTGTCAAACGCTCACCATCATGCGGTCAGTTTCTATATTACTTTTCAATGCACTCCGTTGTGAATGATTTGAATGGTTACTTCGAATGGCCTGGCGCTTTCGCCGCGCAACCTAATGCATTTGTGTTTGACCAAACATATTGTAAATACTCGCACATCGTCACCGCGTCTCCCTACTTTGCACTACATCACCTTCTCTCCAGTTTTTTCACCTTGGAATCCGAAAGGAAGAACACCGCCTTTGCATGTGGCAGCCCTGACCCGCTTATCAGTGCGATAAATCCAGTTCTCGCTTTTTTCTTTCCCCCTCTCAATACGTCCATATAATTTATGCCTTGGTATTGTTGGGTTAAACTGGCGGGGATCGAAAGCGGCCTATCGGTTACGTAGCTCCCGTTATTCTGTGTTCGATACTCATGTACGGAAGGAATAGATCACTGGTACATCGAGAATGGAGAATTGGTGTTACAGTCATCCAAGTAAGCAGTTTAAACGATAAAATATTGCTGTTTAGGCATTTGTATGTGCATACTGTTTAGATTAGGCTAAGTTGCTCCTTCATCTTCCATGTTAGTAATGAGTAATAGCAGAGCTACCTTAGCCGTACTAGGCATCTCCGCCTGACTGCATTAACAGGAGAAGACTTGATCAAGTTACGCCTGATCGTTCACCTGTAACCCTTGATCACGTAGACTACCTGGTTAACACCTACTTACCCATCGCCACGGTACGTTACAGAATAACTCTTTGACGATATCACCTCGACTGCTGACGAAACATTCACAACAAAGTTGGCGAGCTTAGCCAGCGGTTCGCCTAACAAATGAACTATGAGTTAGCTACATTTGATTCTGTGTCATTGTTTATATATGATGGCAGCAATCTGCGTGAGCAGTGCTTGTGTCCGGCAACGGCTGTTCAGTACTAAACCACATGTGGCTGGTCTTGGCATCCTTATGTATTTGATCCCGCTAACTTCGGTGAAGTCGTTGTTCGTGTAACAGCTGACACGTTATCACGGTGTATGTTGGTTTTGGGCAGCGGTCCACCGGCAACTTGGTGAAAACAGGCGCGTTATTTGATCTGGGGATTTCCTCGAGTTGTTAAGTATATGAGCGCTCTGTCATGATAGATAATACGAAATAACGCCGTCACGAAGTCCGTAACCCTATTGCTTCTGATATCACGTAGCTAGCTTGAGATACTTTGAGATATGGGCTGCGCCGGTTGGTTTTTGTTGAGTGCGTGTATGGACAAGGATGCTGGAACACATAAAAGCTTACGAAAAATCATATGCATCATCACTAATCTCAATACGCCTGGATAAAGAGGGGTACAACATTAACTGGAAGATAACACAAATCCTGGTTTACACAGAAGCAAAAACTGGGGAGCTTCTGGAAACTGGGTTATCTTCAATTGATTCAAGCAGCGTGCTATTTAACCCTGACCGCATGTGCCAACCACACAGAAAGATTTCAAACAAATTGGGAGCTTAAGTTCGGAACAGAACAATCTGACGAATAGCGCAGTTCGTGTTATACTAGCCGGATGACTTCACATCTATGTACCGACCGAAGTTCAGAAATACCAACCATGTCAAAACAAAATTTGTGTACTCACTGACAATAACCAAAGTCATAGGTAATGTCCACTGGAATACCGGGAAATGCGCTTGCGAGAAGATAGCTTTTCCATAAATCACATAAGACAAATACGTTTACAAAGCTGACTGAGATAAGCACAAGATAATGAAAGCTGAATTGACAGTGGTTGCCAGTCTGAACTGGCTGACGTTATTCGAACAGAAGTCAAATCGAGCGGAACAGGTGGTGTGGGCCTGAGAGAGCTCGCCGATCCCTTCATGAAACAAAATGGGTCAGTTGAGAAGTGAATCCATCCTTGGTCGTCCTTGGTGTCCCATGCAGATGACTTCTCTTTACAGCGACGGCAGAGTGAGAGATTGCAACAGCATTATCTGCTTGCAAACCTCTGGCTACGTTACCTTGATCACTATCGTTTCCGCTACCTTTCAGAGGGGTTTCCCAAGTCTCTTTGGATGTCGTTTTGGCACGGGGTAGATAGCATCCTTGGTCGTAGTTTCGTATTCACTTTGATTTAGATCTTCAAGGATGGAACTCCTGATACTTCCGATTATAACTTTTCGCAGAGACACGGGACAGTGTTCAGCTGCCCGTACCGACAGATGCCTGGTCGGATGTCCGAGGAACTTTGCACCCCAAGTGCAAGTAAAATGATATACAACGCACGGTTTAGATTTTACGGGGAATCTGTTCTTAAGGCGCTGAGCAATAAATTGAGTGGTCTCCGCAAAATCATGCGGATTGGCTGCTGGGTATATTCTGGTCATTGCAGCGGAAAGCCTTCTATTCTTTAGGTCGAAAGTGATGTCACCCTTCAACAGAACCATCAGAAACATCCAATTTTGTGATTGTGATGACAGGCTCACTATGTTCACCGATGGTAGCGTGGTTTTTGATAACTGAAGCATGGTAATTTTAAGAGCTGCGCCTCAAATATTCGTCCTTCTTGTTTTCTGGAGTCTTAGAGCTTCATATTTTGGAGTATCGGTTATATATGCAGGGAATTGAGTTACCTTTATGCCTCGGAAGCATGAAACCTAGAAAGTACGTGATTTGTCCCACCCACGTAGCCTTCTGGAGGACACTTCTCTTAATAGAACCAGCTTCCCATCTCATCAGTGGTACGTCCAATAACGCTAGCCGTCCTTCTTTTCTGATTTCCTTAGTGAACATCAGTAATGGGTTTGCACCGTTGGTTTGCTCGAGAAAACCGGTGACATCAGTGCTCGAATTACCGTTAACAAATGTGTCATCCGGATATCTACAGTGGAAATCCAGTGAAGCAGCAACAGATTGGATGGGACCACATTTAATCTAATACACCAACTAGCTGAACTGACACCCAATTCTTCTCTGATCCGAGACTCTTTGAAAGCCACATTGGTGCACAACTCTCAACAATATCTTGGTGGCAAGAACAAGTCATCTGACATCCTGACCTTGAAACCTTGACAGATCTCTTCGCAACCGTGTTTTCTAGCAATCCAAGTACTATCCTATGGAGCAATAGATAGCCAATCAAAATGAAGCAATGAAATTAACCCCAGAAGTCCATAGAAAGACCAGAGTAAGAACTCAGGACATTCATAACTAAGTTTACCTGCTATCTGCGTCTCCATCGAAACCGCTAACCCTTTCGCACAGACAATCTCACCTCCACTGGTGACGGAACATTTGCAACTAACTTGTCCAACTCGACGAACCACCCAACTATTGAAGATAGCTGCTGGAGCTTCCATTAGAAGGCGGGCTCGCTTTTCTGACCCTTTCAACATTATCTTATTCATAGGTATGGCGACATGATTAAGGGTATTTCGGCGCGCTGCACTTCCAGTTTGGGATCAGTGCCCCAGTCTAAACGAGCTGGATTTTTATCCACCAAACTTAAAGTAAGGGAACCATGAGAAGCACAAACAAACGGACCAATGATGGCTATGGTGCGTCGTTGATAATACACGCAATTGAGAGACACGGATAGCGTACTTCCCTCAGTAAAACTGAACGTCCTTTTAAAAGTAGTAAAATCGTGCAGGAACAAATGACTGTAATCGTCACTATGCTTACTGCCGATCAAACGAAAGTAGCGAACCACAGCGGGTAAACCAGGATACGTCAAAATCCACTTTTCAGAATGAAAGTGGAGTGCATAGATGGGTGGTGCACTTTCTGTCACATAGCTTGTGGTATGGAGGTCGGATGGCTTCCAACTGCATTTGCTATACTGTTTGGTAATCCGGTCAACAATAAACCATAAACAATGATGGCAGTGCTAGTTTGCCGAACTAGTCACTATCCAAATGCCTACGTAGTTATCCTAGAGAAACATAGGAAGTTACTTCTATACCGGTGTATACAAGGAAATGGTCAGGATGCAGCTTGACACTGGTGGCAAATTGCGGAGCCGCGTTTATAAGTGGTTTGAGGGTGGGGAACACTAAGATATCCAGCAACGCATGTGTGGCTTCCAGCCACAGTTACGGAAAAAATAACTTAACATCCACGAACAAACTACACAGTTCCTATCTGCCACCCTTTTTGGCGATTCAGTCTTGTTAGCTATCAGAACACGGTTCTATACAACGGTCAAAAGGTTTCGCAACGTTTTCCTCAGTATCCAAAATTCCATGAAGATTTCGACCACATAACTGACGACAACCATACTGTATATAAGCCATCAAGCGATAGGTGAACAGAGGAGCATTCTGTGGACATATCTTTTGACAGTGAGCTTTCTGCCATTGGTGCACCTTGAGTCGGAGAGCCTTCGTAGTTCATGTAGCCCGTTAATAAGGCAGCGCACATCAGTAAGTAATAAGTCGCTCGAGTGGATATCCTGACCAAGAAAACTTCTTTTACACGATTACAGGGAGCCAATGGACCAATCACAGGCGAGCATTCGATGCATGGAACGCACTGCTTAGCTGAAATGAAAATTGAAATGAAAAGATATACCCGACATGATGGAAACATTTGGTTTGCATATTAATAATCAGCTCACTTGGTACTATTGGAAATATCTCATTTCTGTTATGCAAATTATGTTGCACAGTGTTATAGGCCTACATTTTAGATAGTCTTTTCTGGATAAATAAATAATATATATTTCATAATAAGGGGAATACGACCCACATATGGGGGCAACCATTTGTATACAGTGGAGTTATAATTTCCGTAAATTTTCTCAAATTATCCTGTTTAGTATAGTTATGTATTTTCTTGTTCTATAAATCAGTAACACGATCGGCTGGAACAATGTAATAATGGATTTATCACAGATAAAAATGCAAAAGCTAACCGTGATTCGTAGCTTAAATGAGCTTACAAATGTGTGTATCAACCAATTGTGCGTAGCCGTGGACTTACCGCAAATTTCAAATTACGTTGTTGCATGTCCCAGTGACTTGGGTTAAATTATGTAATGTAGGTGGTGTAATTCATCACCAAGTCTAGTTTTATATTCTGACAACGCAGGAGCGTATATGACGTAATGCGGAAGCAAGTTCCATGGCTGAGATACACAAAAAGAGAAATACTTCCAGAAGCATTCCAACTAGCTATGCGGTGCCGCCAACTTCAAATGGTGCCCTGTTAGTGTGGTGTCATGACTGAGTTTCAGTAAGGGTTGACATGCATTGTTTGGATCATTGAGCATCTGATACACAAATATGAGATCACCTCGTGGAAGACGTTATTGTTCACCAAAATCTCCTAGCGTATTTAACCTCAA